CGTTGTTTTAACCCACATACGCTTGACGCGCAGCGTGCGACAAAACACGGGGATTAATTTGATGCCGTTCGCTCAGCCGCAATTATTTTTTTTAATTTTATTTTTTTATACACAGTCTCAGGTTAAAAAAAGGCAGACGTACGATATTACAAGACAGCCTGGCTTTGGAGGGGGAAAAGCCATTTTCTTTTGTCCTTCTCCAAAGAGCAGATGGATCTGCTTCCCAGCTGATCTCCCCGGCAGAGTAGCAGACACCTCTCATTGCCGGCACATCTTCCCCCCTCCTCAAGGCTCTGAGAAAATTCACGGCGAAGCCCCGCCTAGAAATTTATTGCTTTCAAGCCAGTGTGTGGCCTGTGCTGCCCTCAGAAGTTCCCTCTATGAAGTACACCCACACTCTCCAGGGCGGAGAGAGCCGCCTGACATCATTAGACAGCAGCCGAGCGCTGGCAAGCCACCACCTGCACCAAGCAGATCTCTCAAGCCAAGAGAGGCCCACCTCGGCGAAGAGGGAGCGCGTAGGAGCCAGCGTGCAGGGATGCTCCCGTGCCATGGGCAGCTCTGGAGTGATTCCCGGCCGACCGCGAGGCTGCCTGCTCTCCCCCCTGCCTGCACACAGCTACCGCCGAGGAGGGGTTGGACGCAGCTGAGGGGAGACGAGGCTTGGGGGGGCTTCAGGAGATCCGGGCAGGGAGGTGGAGGCTGGCCAGATGAAGGTCCAGGGGCGAGGAGCGGCGCCTGCTCCCTTCCTCTGCCCTCCCCTGGGAGGTTTGAGGGCTAGCGTGGCTACTACCTCAGAAATCCTGGGAGCGAGCGCTCTCGCCAGGCTGAAGGTTAGTCCGGAGCTTGTACATATGATCTAAGGCTTGAGTAAGGAAAGTCCCGGTTGTGTTGATCTCCATCAAGGTTAAGTTATCCAGCTAAAAGAGAAAATAGCAGAATATGGGGAAACTGCCCCGCCATGGCAGAGGACAAGGAACTCGGAAAGCAGCTCCGCAGCCCACGCTTTTCCTTCGGTGACACCCCAAGAGACCGGCCCAGCTGCCACCCCCAGTCAAGCACACAAGCGACGAGAGCACTATTTCTATAACGCACCGGGAGCTGCAACCAGCCCGTAAAGCGAGGTTTCAGCATACAGCTCTAGTTGCCAACCGATGTACCCACAGCCCAGAAAAAAAAAAAACATGCCCCAACCAGCATTTTCACGAGCAGCTCTCATCAGTCACAAGCCCACGCAATCGCACGGCATCTGGAATCCTCCCAGCGCAGAGCTGGCAAACCTCTCCCCGCGCGTCCCCGCCGCACCTTGGCGTGAGCCTCCTGCTGCCTGACGAAGCTGTCCGCAGACAGCCGCAGCTTGGCTATCCGGGTGTCCCAGGTATCCTTCACCAGCGTTCGAATCTCGTCGGCTTTGGGGATGTTGTCTGAGGCACTAGAGGAGGAGAGAGCGGATCAGAACGGGCTGCCAGGGACTCGTACGTTATGTCACCGGCATAAGTAATGTTGGCAGTTCATCAGCCCTCTGAGGCATAAGCAGAGCAGGTTGCTAGAGAGGGGGAAAAAAAAAAAACTGCAACTCAACATTAAAATCCAGCCTGGTACTTCTGCTGCTGGGATTTTTGGGATAGTTTATTTACCCAGGAATGCTCAAGCTCTGATGCAGCATCTGGTTCTCACTAGAATCCTTCTGCTCTTTAATTGCCCAGCTGGTACGAGGTACACGGAGGGCCAATAACCCGGCCAAAGTCACAGGCAGCCAGGGAATTGAAAGGACTCGGCTGCGATTACAGCCCCGGCTCTGCGCTCTCGTGGCTCTATCAGAGAGTATTAAGTTGAAAGGACTGTACGAGTTGTGCCACATCCTCCCATTAAGGCAATTCAGCGCTGCCATAAGGGCCTCGAGAGATCAGATCAATTCACACGGACAGAGCTGTCAGGGTTATTCTAGCGTGAGGGAAGGAGCTGCACGCCAAGAGCGTCATCTCCAGAGGAAAAGCCGGTGCTTAAATGACCGCCCCGCCGTAATGGAGGGCTTAAAGTCAGAAGAGCCCGCGCTGAGGAAAATACCAGCCAGCGCATTTTACAAGTGAAATGCCTCAGCAGGCAGGAGTTCAGCCTCGGAATATCCCTGGTCTCCTGCTTCTCAGGCTGAGGAAAGAGGAGCTTTCCTCCTGAAGGAGAGCCAAGGAAGAAGCCTGGAGGGTTTAGGCTGCTGAACAGATTGCAGCCATGGAACGTGTTGCTGATCCTCAAGGCCTCTACGCTTAGCTGCCGCTCAATAAAGCGGCACAGCCCCAATTATCAGGCTGCAGAACAAGCAATCCCCAAGTTACTGAAATGCAAAGTTACCATGAGAAAACTGCTGCAACGAGATCTTGGCACACTGTGAAATAAACCTCCATTAACTCTCACTTTCCCACCGCCCTCTGGGGTTGCTGCCAACAAAAGCTTGAAAAATTGTCTATGCAAGCATGTACTCGGGCGGAAACTGTTACAATACATTTCCTACTTACTAGTTTAACAGCAGCTTTGTGAGTTCCATATAATAGGGACTGGGCATTGGAGTGAAGGTGTCCTCTTTACGTTCCTGTTCCCGGATTTCCTCCAGTTTTTCTAAAATACAAGCAGGAATTGTCAGGCATTGCCAGACCTTCAATGCTCCAGGCACATTTTTACCCCTCACCCCCAGGAAAACCCACATGCTATTTCTGTAGGACCAACTCTATTTACAAGCTCAAATTGATGTGCGGACAGAAAAAGGTTTCTGTAATGAAGCACACGAGGATGCCGACGGGGATGTCGAAGCTGTGCTTAGCACGCTGTGCCGGGAGGCTGGATCTACACCAGCTTGATCCCCGCACCGATTGCCTGTCGGTAGACAGTCCCTTCACCCACAAAGCACTTGCGCTAATTAGTGTTTATGCCCTTGAACGAATAAAGCAGGAAT